TTTAGTGCTGAACAAGTTTACTTAAGAGCCAAAAGCAAGTTAACTTAGTAAAATAAATAGTTATAAACGTTTTTGTACGGACGATTTTTAAGTTAAGATTTGTGTAAAGGATTTGCAGAAAGAGTTCTCCAAGATATATCTTTGTTTAGATTAATTCAAATTTGTCTAGATAGTATAAAATAATCTATTTTAATTAGTTAATTTCTGTAATTTTATATAATAAACTTTATAATAAAACATTATATCTAATCTTTAAATATTAATAATTTGATAAGATTTTAACTAATTTTAATAAAATTATTACTGTTAGAATTACAATAATCTACTCTAAAATTTGTTTAAAAGCTTAAAATAGATTTAATTAATAAAAAGTTCTATAATTTAAATTATAAAAAATATTTACTATCAAGTTTATATATAATTTTAAAATAGTATTCACTACTCTTAAAACTGGTTTCAAACTCTAGACATAGCCTTGTTAAGATCTATAGAATAGTTAGATAAATTAACAGAAAGACCTTCTAAATCTTACTGACAAGTAATAGGCTCTAAAATATGCAACAATCTAGATACTAATACAAAAAAAAAATCAAATCAAATCTAAATAGTTTTTAATAAAAAGCAGTACAGAGTTACTCACCTTAAGGTAAAATAGTTAAAGTTATATAAATACTGATTAAATAAGCCAGAGAGTTTAAATAAGGCATCCACAAGTAGGAGTCAGGTATGACGGATAGTAGGTAATCTTAGAGTGAAACTCTTAATAGACAATGACTAAAGTTATGCATATAACTAGCTATATTCTTACAAACTATAAATGTACTTAAGATATTACTAACTAATAAAAATTTACAATTTGGCTAAATGATTGACCACTCATTATTAAAAAAAAAAAAAAAATAGATGTGCAATAACTACCAGCTTTCTTATTTTTTATAAGAACAGCAACAAAATACTTAAAAAATATACAAATACATATAAGTAACCATGAAATCCATAATTAACATTATCAAAATCATGAAAATCAAATTGATTTGAATGTGCCACTATGATGCTACTAATATAACTGATTTCATATCAGTTTTTATTTTGATTAAAAAATTTTTGCACAAACAGAACACTTATTAACATAAACCTATATTTCTGTTTGCATTAATGCCAATGTGTTTTTCTAAGAGTGCAGAGACAATTTTATGACAATTCTAGTGATTATGTTGATAATGAAGTTTTTTAATAATAAACTATGTACTTTTTTAAAATAAATGCATCCTTCTTTGTATTCTTTAAATGTTAATTGGTATTTCATATAAATAGTACGCATCTGATTAATATTGAATGTGACCGTGCTCAGATCCAAATAATGGTTTGATAAATTCAAGTTTTTTGATAAACAATAAAATCTGTACTATGGTATTATTCTCTTATGGAAACTAACATTACATTCGGCATCAAAAAGAAACATAACAAGCTAAAAATAGAAATAGAGAAAAACTAAGAATAACGAACGGACCTTTATAACGTAAATATTATAAACAATATAATAAAAAAATTTTATCAAGACATTTTATCTAACTTCACCTTACATAAAATGCCCCGCTAATAAATTATGAGCGAGACATTTTACGTAAAAATAACGAAAAATTCCATCATAAATTTGATTTGAACATGTATGAAATTTATCTAGGACCCAAGGAAAGTTTAATTCTTATCACATGTGAGCAAATTCAGAAGAATATCTGTATAAGGATGATACGTAACGGCAGTAACATTACTGTTTTGCACGTGTAATATTGATCTGAAATCTACAAACTATCTTGTAAATACAAGATGCATTTTTGATTCCTCTCCGGCCTACGCTCTCAGCAGAATAAAAAAAGCAAAATACAAGATATTAATAGAAGTCTCGTCGAATTAATTAATTTCGGCTTTCAATTAAATTATAATGTTATTTGAGCACAGGTTAGATGATACGTACAGAATTTCCTATGGTAGTACTGTAGACCCACCTTGCCATATAGCCGGATTTAAATATTTAGACTGCTCATTATAAATGCAAAAAGTGCATGCTCTTCAAAGTTTTTCTCTTAATGACATAAACTCACAGTCATGTACTGGACCGGTCTTGTATATAAAGAAATCAAGTAATAATAATTTGGATAGTGCAGATGAATTAATGGTTGTCATATTTCTAAATGGAATAAAATGATTTGAAGTATTACTTGATATATAGTGAATCTTCACGAATTGAACGCACACATGTTATTTAATAATCTTGCTCACATGAAGTTTGAAGCATTTATTCAAAAAAAAAAAAAGATTATTTTTATTAGTTATTTCAGTTTAAAAGCTACTATGTATTTCAAGATCGCATCTAATATAAAAACTATTTTGAAATTGGTTATTTATAAAACCAATACAACTTTAGTTATATATTATACATTTAAGATTTATAGAGTTTCTTTATACACAAGTTAATATTTTATTATAATTTACTAAAAAACAAATCGGTTTAAATTCTTTACGATAGCCTACTCTTTATTACATAAGCAGATAAATAATAAACAAATAGAAGAACGCAGTTTTTTGACAAAAAATCACTCGTGCACGAAAAAATACTTGGTCATTTTAAAATACAAATGTAAATATTATTACACTAGGTTATACTAAAGGTTACTACAATTAAAATATATCTATTCTTTTTTTACAATATTTTTCTTTTGCATTTGAGAAGTAAAAGTTTTCGTTGATTGTGGTTTTGAAGTTGTTGCTTCTAAATTTTTTGTTTCATTAGAGCTTGAAGTTTTAGATTTTGACTTTCTAGTTGCAAATAAAGTACTAGGAGATTTTGAATTTGGTTTAGGTGCCTTCTTACTAGTTACAACTTTTGTTATTGGCGGGCTATTAACTGCCACCGTTTTTGTTACGGAAGGCATTTGTTTTTTGATCGTCTATAGTTTTAAAGTGATGCAAAATATTAATTATTAAATAGCAACAATAATTCAATATAGAAATTACAATTATTAAAATTTTCTTCTCACCTCAATTCTACCAGAAACAAGCATAAAAGCTTCAAAGATATGTTTAACCAATAAATTTTCCGGAAAACAATTGTCAACCACTTCTTCACTTATCCAAGAGGCCCACAAGTTCAATGTTGGATCTCCAAAATATAATGATAATGGTTCATTTTCTTTATTTGAATCCACTGATAAAAACCTTAACATAAATCTTTTTAATGCTGACACAAAATCTTCTGCAGGAATTTTTGTCATTTCAGGTTCAAAAAATTGACGTTGGCGAAGTTCAAAATTTAACGATGAAATAATCTCTTGTTCTAATTCAGATGTTAATGGTGATCTGTATTTGTCATCTATATATTTGATCACTCCATTCGCTACTTGCTCTTCAACTACTTCATATAATGATACTAAATGACATAATTTCAAGCCAATTTTCAATAAATTATTAAACGATTCATTAGTAAATAAATTGGAAAGTTTTATCCATTGATTAACGTATTCCTCTATCAAAATTTCCCCATCACCAACCGAAGTTCTTTTAACAAAACAAAGTAAAATTTCTAAATGCGAAAGAAGATCTGATGCATTGTCATATGATAAAGATTCCTGATATCCAAATGAAGACATTTGGGAAAATGCTGATCCAAGAATAAGTCCAATTTTCTCCGTGGAAATTGGCTGTTGTGGAATTAGATCTTTGATATCACTAATAATTCTCATATGTCCTTGGAATAATTCCATGTGGTAAGGAAAAGGTTCCATGTACAATTGTGAATCAGCAGTACTAATATAAACTTTATCGAAGACCAATAATTGTGCAAGTTCAGTTTCAATCTTTCGTAAATTATATGTAATGTCACGCCCATTACCAATCTCAAGATTTCTTTGACTATGTTGAAGTAATTCATCGCTCCATTGGAAATCAATAAAGTTAGTTGTCTGCATTTGATCTATTCGCATCGATTGAAAGTAATATCTGGTGATGGAATTTCTGCTTGTTGAAGAAGATGCTGCTTTATTTTCATTACTAAACGAACTATCTTCTAAAAATTTAAGAGAGTAACAAGTTCCAGGACTAATTTCTGCAACCTCTTGCAAGAAATTATTTTGTAATCCAACTAAATACTCTAAAATCGCGCAAAGATAAACGCCAGTGTCTTTTGGTTCCACCAATCCAAATACAATAGGAGAACTAAGGTTTATTTGAGGTTTCGTTCCTGGAAGTTCATGACATTGATAATATTTAACTTTGTCAATAACTATGTTCCAAGCTTTCGCAAAGTCTTCGAATATTGAACTCAAATAATCATGTACTTCATCTTTTTCATCATCAGATGATTCGTTATCGATAAATTCTCGGAATGTCTGTTGTTGTGCTTGTTCTCTGCTTAATCGGTATTCAAGTGTTGTCGATAAAATTCGTACAAATTTTACAATTGGTAAAAGGTATTTAATTAGTTCTAAATTTTGCTTATGTTTATAGAATATAGAAAGTAACGGAAAACTTTTTGAATGTTTAGTTAGATCAGCAAAATAGAATGCACGGAAACTTTCAAAGTTAATATCACAAATTATGCGCCACAATTTTGGGAGGTATTCCAGGTTATGTTGTTTATCCATTTGTAAGGTCTGATTGATCTCGCCTTCAATTCTGTTAACACTATCTTTTGAGTTTGTTGCAGCTGTATCAATTTGATTCTGGAAATTATTTGCTGCTGTTGTAATTGATTTTGCAAGTGGAGATATATAATTTTCGCTAAAATATAATTCCCATTCTTTGCGCTCTGCTGCTTTCCTTAATGGTGAATTTTTAGGGGGTGTATTTGTCATTAAGTTGAGAATTGAATGCAATAATAATGCCAAATTTTCATGTGATGTATTCAAGATTCTTAGTAATACATTCCAATCGTTTGTAATGTGACCCATACAATAAGCTGAAGCATCAGCATTCTCCCGATTATTATTGTTTAAGAAAGACTTTCCAATTTGTGTATGTGCCCAAGCTCCAATTATTGCATGAACAAACAAATGCAAAATTCTGTAAGAAACTGGGGTCAGAGAACGAAGAGAATGTAACATTGATGGACTTTCAGATTCCATAATGTACCCAGGTTTATCTCTTGCAGTTATAGTATTAGTTATTGGATTTGTATCCAATTTTTTTTGTCCTGGTGCCGAAACGTGGTTAATCCCTCCAATTGTTTTTTTGCATTCAGGACAAGTGCCAACGCTATATGCCCGACCGCAATCTGCTATAACATATTTATATCCACATTCACAAGAATATCTATAAGTTTGTGTATAGTTAAAATTTTGATCATGAAAAGTATGAACGAATAAAAGCTCAAAAAAAATTTTTTTGTTTGAAAAAAAAAACATACCGAGTTACTTGCCCACCTTGAATTACAGCCGAGATTATAAGTGCCTATTTTAAATAGAATACATATTAATAACATATTTTGTGGCGTGAACTGTATCAGTAATGATAAACAATGATAATACGCACTTCGATATCAGACACACAAGTAAGAATGAATAAGTCAGAGCAATTATTCAAGTTATGTAACATATATGATAAGGGATTAGATTCTGCTGGAATTGATGCATGTAATGCAATAACATGGCCAACGACAGACTTTACAAGTAATTCAGAATTTGTAACAGTTGGATTTACTCCAAGCAATGGATGGTTATTTGATATTATGCTTTTGATAGTTTGCTTATATATGGTTGACGGCGTACTTGATTGATCAACTTTTCCCTTTAAAAATTCAGCAACCTTTCCTTCTTCATCTGTCCAATCACGAGAAGCCCTTATAACATGAAGTCGGCTAATAATAAAACCCATCAAAGCTATTAAAGATTTATCAGTTGATTCTTTCTTTTTTAATGATGTAAAAAAGGAATTAAATGATGCTTTGTCGTTAAGATTATGAAAAGTTGTAAAACTCTTTTCAACGATAACGTAATCTTTAAGGCACCAATACGGATTAAATGGAAGTCTTGTTTCGTTTTTTGAATCCCAGGATAAGTCGCCAAGCCATGGTAATATTTGTTGTTGTGCTTCACAAAACGTTCGAACCTCATTCATAGACAAACCATTATCACGCAATTCTCTTAAGAAATATATTTTGAAAGAATAAATTAATGAATCAGTTAAATTCATTGAAGTATTTACTTCTTGGATTAATGCATTTGTGTCAAGGTCACCGATTTTTGTAACATCAAACTTGATAGGTTGCGTTATGTCTTCCTGAATTGAATGATCCCAGAATTGTTTTACGAATTCTTTGAGAAATGCTATAGCACAAATAGTTTGTAAGGCTACAGCTTTAGTATCACTAAGTACCTCAACAACATATTTAAAGTTTTTTGCTAATTCTGGAAAGGATAACTTTGCAAAGAACGTTTTTTGAATAATATCACAACATAAAGTTGACATTGCTGAATCAAGTTCTTGTACTTTTAAACATTCATTAATAAGGTTTAATCTTGAAGAGAGTGTGAAAATTTGATCTGGATTTTTAATAAGCGATATAAATGATCCTTTTGTTTCTTCACATTTAAATATACGAATTATTGTTGGGCTCATAAAAGGAAACGGTTTTTGTGAAAACAGATTCTGATAAAGATCTTTATGAGAAGGTGAATTCTTAGAAACCATGTCAAGACATTTGTTAATAAAGAATAGCTTTGGAATAGAATTTTCATTATTATTTGGAAGTTTTTTCATTATCGAAAAAACGGTTTCGATGAATTTTTGATTAAATAAATCATCCTTTGATCCTTTTCCAGCTTTCATTATTTCTTTCATATTTGATATCGAGATTGGATCTGCTGACACAAAATTATAACATACTTGTAGTAAATGTAATGATGAAAATGTTGAAGCTTCTGAGAGTTTTTCACTAAGAGATAAAATTTTGGAGACCTCCCGTTGCCAACATTGAAATTGATTAATGGCTGATGTTCCAGATTTGATGTCATTTAATTTTCGGAACATTATCTTTGTAATTTCTTCGATGAGATAATATCCAAATGGCATATTTGTTGTCTTCCCACTCTCTAATATTGTTTCATTAATAATCGAAGGACATAATTTGGCCAGCTGAAATTCGGCCATAATATGATCGGAATGTTCCCACCAGAATGCATGAGCTAAAACAGGGTCCAATACTTTTTCAGATCCAAGGTTGTATTTGAAAATAAATAATAAAATCGGAATGTCTTTTTTACTTGATCTGCCGGCAGAAATAATAGTGATAAAATCTTCGAAAAATAATTCTGGAGCATGTTCAAGTGGAGATGTATTGAAATTAGGAATTGAGGTCATAATATTATTTTTCAATCCAACTATATAATCTTCAAAAATATAATCAAAAAGTTTTCCTGTGTCGGGATCAATATTAGTAGGGTTTTCTTGAAGTAAACGGACCTCTTCTTTATAAAGTTTTTTGAATGCATCAATTTGGTTAACAAAATGATAAGAAAACGGAAATTGAAGATCAAAGAAAATATTTGGCATTAAATATCCATCTGGCTTCGGCTCTGATAGTTCATTAATATTTAAAAGACCTCTGTCATTAGCCATTTGTCTCCAAAACTCAAGTAATAATTTAGAACATTTAGATGTGGAACTTTTTAGGGTTAACAAAGTTCTGATTACAAATAATCGCTCAAGACAACAAAGAAACTTAGCAATAGGTATTCGAACCAACGCACGTATGTGGGATTGTAAAGCTGCCGAAAATGAAGAATAGGGATACAATAGTTTTTTGTCGGATGCAACATGATACTGCCAATCCTTGGGTGAGTTATCTTGAAGCCATCCAAATGTTCTAGTTTTTAGGAAATTTACCAAATCTGGTTGATGAGGAATCTCGATAATAAGTGTCCTAAAAAATTACAGATCGTATTTTAATAAAGAATTTATTGGTAGCGGATATATGCAAATAAAAATATTGTACATACTTGATGTGATTAACAGAATTAGCATTTGATGGATATTTTATACACAACAAGGACCATAATAATTCTTGTTGCAATATTTCCTCAAAAGAGTATACAGCATTGATAACATCACATAAATCTCCCTGCAAAAGACTGGACAAAGATTTTTCTTGAGGAATCAAGGATTCAATAGTAACTTGTTTCCATCCACACGTAAAATTAAATGATTCCAAAGAGGTTTTGTGATCTCGATGAATATGAAGAACTATACAAACATTCTTAGTAATTGCATCATGAGCGTTTTGTTGTTGCTTCTTATTCAAGTAGTCGATCCTAAATTGCTCAATTATAAATTTGGCTAATTTAATACATCCAAAATTAACAGTTAAGACGTCACACTGCAGAATCAATGTCTGAATATTTGGCGATTCAAACCAAAAATGCTTAACCCTATTTTGAAATTGAGCTTCTGTTTTGAATGTTGAAAGTTTTAACACAGTACATGTGGTGATATCTTTTAAACATTCTTTAACGTCTGCATTAATATTTGAAAATGTGTTGATTATCACTTGATGTCCATCGGCTTCCAAATTTTGATCAAATAAATGTTTAAAATAATCAGCAATATCATTATGATGTAATTGGAAATAAAAATTCTTCCAATAATCAACTTCATCACGATCCAGTGCACTTTTTTCGGCTCTTATAATTCCATCCGAGGAAGCAATGGCAATTAGTGCTTCCTTGCACCTTGCGAGTGTTTCATCCAATTGAAGTTGTGGATTATTTTTTCTAACATCTATTACTAAACTTTGTAAAGTTTCGTCTTGGTCAAATCCAATGAACAAATCTTTTTGAGTAAATTTTTTATGTGTTGGAACAAATCCATTCAATGTTATAGTGGTTGCCATGTGCTGTGCCCAAGTTGATAATTGTTGTACTAATGAAAGCTCTTCAGATGAAAGAATGTCATTTATTGTCATCTTTTGTTTTTCAAAACGATTCAAGAGTGGTGGATCCGCTTTTGGTAAGTTCTTTTCGTCAAGTACAAGAATACATCTAAAATTCTTGTTGACATACCTGTGAATAAAAATATCATTTTATTCACATATACCTCAAATAAGTTGAATCATGAATTAAAAAATTGAAGATGTAAACTTACAGCATTGGATTAGCATAAGCACCAAGTGCTACTCTGGTATAATATTTTGGATCTTCAGCACTTCCGACAACAATATAATTTTGATTCCACAAATCATAAAGACTTCCTGTTATTAAATACAAATGTATTAGTTAATTAATTTAGTAATTATATGCATTCTAAAAGTTATAGACAATAATATACCATAAATAATCTCTAAATCTGTCAAAATTAACGGTTTTCCTGCTTCAACACACATCTAATAATGATTAAATACACAATATTTGTATTAAACTCAAATTCAAAATCCTGTTATTACATAGTGTGAAAAAGAAAGAAACAATACCATAATTCTATTTAGAACGCTATAGGAATAATCATCTTGATCATTAGGAAATTGTGATCCAAAAATAATAACAGGGTCTAAATTTCTCTGTCTTAATTGATATGCTAATAAATTAACTACAGAATCACTTCTTCCAATAATCATCAAATGTCTCGCACCCTCATCATCCAAATTCATATTTATTAATTGTTCAGTAGGTATAGGATTATAAACCCAGCCTTTATGATTGTTAAATTCACTTATAGCGTTACCAAAATATTTTTGACATATTTCGGAAAATTTGTTAGTACCGCCAAAGTTTCTTGCTAATGCCATTTGTATATTTTCAGGTGTTATATTATTTAAAGAAAGAGATTTAATGAAAGCATAATAATCTCTTAAGCCATGAAAGTTAGGAATGATTTGATTTTCTTGCTCATAAATGGAATATGCTTTTGCGAGTGGGTATAAAGATGCTTTTTGAATTTGTCCAGAAGTTTTGTTGTCTAATATTCGGACTGCAGTATCTACCAGATCATCCAAGTCAAACCTAGGTCTATAAACAAATAATCATATACGTGCAAAAATTAGCTTAATGAAAATTAAATCGGCAAAAAAATAGTATATTTTAACAAACCTTTGAACTAACAAAGCTCTACTACTTTTACTATTGTCCAATCTCCAATTACTTATTCCAATAACAGAAACGCAAGGACGACTAGATTTATAACTTGGTTCTAATAGTGAATGAAGTACTTTCAATGGATTAAATGGACTTGTCTCGGCCAATCCTACTTCATCCAATAGAACTACACTGATTACAGGAAATTCATTCGAACTTGTTTCTTGAAAATTTTGAGCTTTTTGAAAGACCTTTAAAATTCCTTCGGATGTTGAAGATGATGAACCTTGATGAGGAATGAGATATACCTAATATCATTGTAAAATTTTAAATTGACATAATAAATTGTGTATTAATCATTAAGTGTACAGTAGTTATACATGAATATAGTTTGCTATTTACCTGTGGTAATTTCCTAAAGTATTCATCGTTTGAATCAGATCCACGCAGATTTTGACCAACAAGACGAATAGCTAATGATTTTGAAGATCTATACAAATCAAAGAAAAAAAAAAAAGTATTATGTCATATACCGTAAAAAGTTCTATCTGATCAACAAACAATTATGTAAGCATACCCAGGTGCGCCAATAATAAAAACAGGTATTCTAGTTAGAATGCAAATGGTCATAACCAAAACATTTTCTAAAAGTGCCTCATTTTTTGCAGTATTTGGTGGACAGACCATTCTATTAATGTAATCTTCCTGTTCATCTCTAATAATCTTCATGAATTCTTTTTCATCTATATGAACATTGTGAGTTTCAAATGTTTTACACATAATCTCTCTATATTTTGTACGTAATGATTGATCATATAACCTCGATTGATAACAAAGTCCTAATGCTAATACATATGAACGAATGTTATCACGTGAATCTGGTGGATATTTAGGTGCATCTTTACGAATTGGAGGTCGATCTTGTAAACTCTCGTAAAAGAATTGAATTAAAGTTATTGCACGCTTTATATCACGTAGACTGACACTATATGATTCTTCTACACTTCGAATAAATTCTTGGGAAGCAGATAATAAGTCAGCTAAAGCTGGATGATTTAATTCCTTTAATTGTGTAGCTACCATGATTTGAATATATTTTTTTTCATCATCGGGTTGAAGGATACCATAATCCCAAACATAATCAAGGATTTGATCGGGAAGTGGTTTGACTTCGTACACAAGATTGCTTTGTTCTTCATATTTTTTAACTTGCTTAGTTTGTAATCCCGCCTCACTAACACTTTTGGTTCGAATTCTGTAAGGATTACATGCTGCAAACAATCGAATATTATGGTGTATTGTATGACCAAGATAAATTCTATGAGCTATTAAATCAGAAAGAAGACCTATGTGATTACAAGTATTAATTTCATCAAAAAATATCCAAACTATGCCTTTTTTGGCATTATTTCGAGCTTCGGTCATGAATTCAGCAATAGTTTGTTCATCAATTCCAGCGTGGAGATTAAGTGCAAAGAATTGAGCTCCAACAACTTCGGCTAAGAATCCAATTAAACTTGTCTGAAAAAAAGTAAAAAGTTCATGAATATTAACTTGATTAATATAACAATTATATTAATCAAAGTACAATAACATCTTTTTCAAGTTTAAAAATTACCTTTCCACATCCAGCCTCCCCAGAAATTACCACCGGAATATTTGCACGTGTTCTCAATAGGATTAATGACATTTTCACCAAATTATCTGCAGACAACGCATAAGGTGTATACTCAATCTTATGATAGGTTTTTCTAGCAATACTTTCCATTTTTTCCAATAGAGTATCGGCTGACATTTTTGTATAATCATCCAATTCCCATTTTTCCAAATCTTGTGCAATAAATTGACTTTTAAGTAATTGTTGAACATTTTCAGGGACTTTGTTCTTATCACGATATAAAGCACAAATAGAATCTGGTGTTTGTGATAAAAAGAATACTAATAAATGATTTGAATCATCCCATTTCAAAATTGTATTTAATTGCGTATTTTCTATGCCATCAAATGAAGTTGCTTCTAATTGTACTGATTTAGTTTGAATTGACCTTACAGCAAAATCCTTTGATACTTCTAATAATGTTTTTACTAATGTCGTTCTAATATTTGTTTTTCCTTCAAGCATCAAAGCTATATTTTCAACTTTGAAATATGAGCTCGAAGATAGTCGAACTAATTGATCAGCAAAGACATTAATAAAAATTTCTAAAAATCGGAATGATAATATTTCTTCTGAATTATTGTCTTTAAAAAAAAATCGATCTATAAGTTCCCGGCATAATGCATCACAGATAGTATCATCGGATGTATCTGGGCCTTTAAATGAAATATTTTTCTCATTAATCTGATACATATGAAGTGCAAATAAATAACGACATACTATTTGCATGGGACTATTAATATCTCGTGTGACTATCAAATTATTAATATCCCATGTAATATGATGCTTTGGCAAATAATCCATCATCGGAAGTGATCTTAGTAAATGCTGTTGGAAACTTGATGCAATCTCAATATATATAGATATTGTGCGAAGTAGACTTGCTATATCAGCATTATTAGATACTATTCCAAAACTTAAAAGTTCAAAAAGAAACAAATTGACATCACCAGGATAATCAGATGAAATTATATTTATATGCATGTATTCTATTGGTCTAAGTGTAAACTCTTTTAATTGTCTAACAAGCTTTCCAAAATCAGCTCCATCACTAATAAGAAAACTCTTTGGAAGTTTATTATTTGTAAAGCATTCTTGTCTAATCCATTCCGTTTTGCCTTGACCTGAAAGATCCGATGATACACATGTAACATTAGAACATAATTTTTGATAAATAGTTGACATTGCACCGGAACTCAAGCCATTTGTTGCTTGAACATCTTGAGAAAATTGATCTAATATGTGATGATGCATTCCACCTTCAGAATTGCAGATTAACGCTAGAAGATAATTAGGTTCTTTTTCTCGCATTAATTTAATTTTATTCACTAAATTGTATTGTAATTCAAAGTCAAGTAATTCCAAATTTGCTATACAGAATAAATGATTATCGTATTTATTTTTGAAAGCCAAAAAACATCTTTTGATAAATATTGAAAGTTCTTCCAAGGTTGTGGAGGATGTACAAATCAAGACTTGCCAAGCTTCAGGAAATGTTCCATGGTTTGCATACAACGACATTATAATGTTTGGAACTCTTGACTTGTCATTACATGCAGCAACAAATAATCTTCCACGAATTACAACATCTGATGCTACGCGTTCTATTGAAGTTTTTAGTAAACGTGGAGTTTTTGGTAGACCACCAAAAATTTGGTGTAATTTAGTTCCAATTTCATTCAATATCTGAAGATAATCTTTTCGTACAATCGATATAGCTCTATCTCTTGTCTGTAGTTTGACATTCGGGTTTACAAATCTAACGAGAGTTTGGCATGTTTTAGTATTGGTGGGTGAACGACTCGTGAAAAAATCATAAAATTCTAGGATATGTCGCGCTGGAAAGAATGTTAGATAGTAATGACTTTCTTGCGCTTTATTCACTAAATTTTCCCTATAACATAAAAAAAAGGATATTGTATATTAATAAATATATATATATAGAAATATATACACAAGTATATATATAAATATATATAAATATATATAGAAATATATATATATATATATATATATATATAAAAAGATATATATATCATTACCATTTTCTAAGCTCTAATTTTAATTTGTCAGCCAATTGAGTCATATTTTCAGATCCTTTGACTGATTCTTGAAATTCCCTATAACCAAAGTGACCAGTCTCAATTAATTTCGCGGCGATATTATTAACGATGTCCTGAACTATATCTACTTGATGTACAAATTCATCCATTATCTCCTTTGTTTGATCTTTTTTATTCTCATCATTCGAACCTCCAATTGTGATATTTGTGATATCTGGCTTTGCTATTAAAAGAGCTCGCCCACGTAAATCTTGTAAATCATTAAAATTATATGTGACAGTTCTTTTCGTAATTTGATTAATTTGATATGATAACTTTACTGAACATTTCTTATCTGTTGATTTCCATTCAAATTTATAAGTTCCAATTTTAACAGCATTTCGAATCTTTTCTTTAGTCACTTCTCCTCTGTTACTAATGTTTGAATACATATTTTGTAACGCCATATTGTTGCTATTACATAATGTAACTTTACTTGCAAGTGTTGGATTCAACTCGATAATCTTAGCCAATTCTTGTAAAAACGTATCTAAAGTCAAAGTTGATGCAGCACTCAATAATGGAAACAAGAACTGTTTAACTTGAATAAGAGATGCAACAGTGTCTTCTTGAATCAAACGTTCGTCAGAATGATCGTCAACACCATTTATAAGATTTTTAAGATCATGTTCCGCAATAGATCTTAGAAAACCGATAAATTCTTCAGCAGTTGAAAGCTCTTTAATTAATGACCAAGCATTTTCATCAACGACATCAAAATGATTATTAATGGAATCAAATACAGAACTTAATTGTCCTAAAAGGATTGATTGTTCTTCAAGATCATTAAGAGCTTCTGAGAGCCAATCCTGTTCATTTCGAGGTATATTAAATATTTCTATCACAATTGATAGTTGATGTAATTTTTGTATTATTTTCAAAACTTCAGAGAGCTGAATAAGGGTCATCATGTACTTTTGATCATGATTTCTGGGAATAAATTCAGCCATGAATTCAAGTTCAGCATTGATATTTGTAACATTTTTCCAAAACATTGATGCGAAAGGTAATTGAATATATTGCCAATTTTGAAATTTAGAACAATCTTTAATGTAAGATATAAAAACTTTTGGCATGATATCTTGTGCAAGAGTTTGTACATTTATTTCATTCGAAATTTCTTGTAAAGCACTTTCAAAAACATTATAAAATGTTTGAGATTTATTATATTTATAAATTTTCTTTGCAATATCTAAAACTTCATCATGATCTTTCCAAATTTCAGGATCTCGGGTTTCATTAAGTAAAATTGATTCCCACATTCCCTTTCGTTCACGTAATTCATCAATACCATCTTGACCATTTGTGACTTTAGTAATTAAGCTATATCGCATATAGAAAGCATTAAGATGCTCAAACGTTTGCAAATATTCATTAATTTGTTCCTTAACTGATTTCAAGATCCCTTTGGTGACATATATTTCAACATCATCTTTATCAAATATTGATGCAGATTCAAAATATTCTAATAAAAAGTCATCATCGTATTTGCAAATATTTTGTGAGAGAACAATATCAATCGATTCATTTATTATATCATGACCCAATTGAGAAATCGCTTTTTTAACCATCATAATACAATGAAGTGAATTTAACTTTTCCACATAACCATTAGCTCTCAAAATCATTTTCCAAAAATTCGCAGTACTAAGAAGAGACAGATGAAAGCTTGTTGGAGCCACCTCCCAATCCGCGTCATGAGATATGAGGTTGGTTCCCAAACAATCAATAATGTGACAAATCAAGTCTTCTCTTAATCTAAATTAAAAAAAAAAAAAAAACAAAAGGTGTTATTATATTCAACAAGTATTAACGTTAATAAATAAATAAATGTAAAGATACTTACAAGCTTGAAATAGTAAGTTGATCACCTGAAACAGTACAAATTTGTTCAATTTTCATCATCAATCGACTATCAATATGTTGTGTAGATGCAGTCAACATTTCCTCAACTATACGACGAAAATACATAACAACTTCCGGATGAAAGTTTTCAATATTTGATATAGCTTTGAAAACAAGGTTTTCAGGAAACTGTTTTATACTATTAGTAGTGAGCTCCATTATTTTTTTCCAGAGTATTGTATATTTTCCAATTCTCTCATAGAGAAGTGATGCACGATAAAATATTGCAATGATGGTATCCTTTTGAACATGAGACAAAGCATTTAAACGATTTAAAAGGCGTTCATACCATTTTTTACAAATTTTAAAAATTTTTTCTTTTTCATCTATCGGATCACCAAACCAATCTTGAAAAGTTTTTAATAGTTCATAAAAATAGGACAACATTTCAATATCAGTGAATTGAGAAAAAGCGTCTAGCACAATAATATAATCATCAGATGTCCAAAAAAGTTTTGGACTTTCTAATAATTGAAATATTGCTTTTGAATATTTTGACGGAAAATTTGGTAATTCATAACCATTTTTCAAATGTACAATAACTTTTAGTCGAAATGCCTCCGCCACTAATTCAGCAAAGTCCTGTGGAAGTCCAAAGAATAGTTCATGCACTTGAACAATATCTTTAGATCCTATATTCTTTTGGACTCTCTCTAACAATTTAGGGCGAAGAGAAATGATGACATCATCATCATGATGATCAATAACATGTCTCCAAAGGTAAATAAGTGACTTCATTGTTTCACATATTGAAATCATCCACTAAAAAGTACACAAGATTAGTAATAATATAATAATAGTAGTAACGTTAAATAAATAAACAAATGATTAGAATTACCTTCCCAACTCTAACATAAGTTTCTAAATCTTCGATTTGATTGATGTAATCGAATAACTTTTTATGTAAAATGGTGATGAAATAGAATTCATCATCGAATTTATTGAATCTGAGCCTAATAGATTCTACGAATTTGAATTCTGGATCAAGCCATCTAGCAATGGGAAATATTTTAATCCACTCAAATTGGCCTCTGGAAGCGTTATGATGAATTAAAGCTTCCAAAGATTTCATAACAATTTGATGCATATCGGATGGAAAAGTATTTTCTTGAACATGTTCCAATACATCAAGTAATAAATTTGTGGGAAAGTCTTCCGGTAATTCAATACGATAACGTGAACGTCTATTAAATTTGTGAATATAACAGCCCAAAACGACAAGCACTAAAAGACGATGCTCTTTGGATTTATTCTTATGCAAGCATTTTTTAGAAAATTCAATTGACATTGCATTGATTGCCTTTTCCCAATGATCAATGAAAATGGTTTGAAATTCTGAAATTTTCTCTTTAAGATTTTCAGAAGTTAAAGAATTGAATATAAGTTCAGAAAAATAATAATCTTCAACTGTTCTAATATAGAATGGTTCACCATCCATCCATATATCATACTGATTGTTTTGCAATAAAAGAACACGTTCAGTTTCATCATCTAAGCCTTCAGAGATAATAGTTGTGAGTTCCTTGGATTTTCTTGCATTTTTTTGTACGGGAACAACCACATATTTGTAACGGATTTCTTGAACAGACTCGATATCTTTTAAAGAAATTCGAACGGGATCAGAAACCCAGTAAGTATTAGCACAATCGGGGGGTAGTTGACGGGAAATTTGACGAAGCTTGACAATTGGGTTATTCCAGAATCCTAACTCTTTGATATTACCAACAACAGCTTTAAGGTAATTTATAGAAATATTATTATTAATAATTATTAGTGGTTTAAGGAAAAAAACGCATGATAAATTTATTTTAATTTTTTTTAATTACCTGGCACGCCGAATTCTTTAATATTGTTAGGTAAGTGTACGTGAAACACTGTTTTGATATATTCAGCAGAAATTTTATTTTCTTTTTTCAAAGTTTTGTTAAAAGCTGAAGACTTTGCTCCAAGATTTGAATTCATCGTAGAGGTTGAATAATATTCTTCACCGTATGAAGATCCATTTTGCCACGTATCTGTTCTTAGTGATTTGTTTTTTCCTTTCTTTTCATTTGTAGGCGTTTTATTTACATTATCAAACTGATCACGAATAGCTATGTTTTTATCGATATTATTATCTTGAGACTCTTCATTTACTTCTAAATTTTCATGATTTTCTATCACATCATCCGTTTTTCTATTATACACAACATCTATTTTTTCGTCCAAATCCTTAACATCAGCTCCGTTGACGAAATTCGATGTTGCATCAGATTTATCCGTGTCTATATTGTCAGATCTCAACTGCTCGTCATCATAAGATACTGATTCAGTCAAATTTACATTATCTTCAACAATTTCTGCTTGGGAATCATCGATTTTATTATAGTTGCTTGACATTATAATGTATCTATCTTGCTATGAGCACCGAAATATGAAGAATAAAACCAACCTTATTGTCCGTAATATATAACTTTTACGAATGTACACAAACACATAGACTCCGATTTACTACAAACAAATTCTAATTGAGTGTCAATGAATGAAGGCCTTAAAAAAATTAGATAAGATTTCCAAGTTTTCATTTGCGATACTCAAATCCCCAACGTAACCATATTTCGGTTGTTTCACGACATAAAATTATAACGATCTACTACGAACACGGTTTGTCTGTACGTACGCCATTTTTCTTTAATAATAGAATTGTATAAAGTTTAATTTCATAATATATCAATTATACGTATACTTTATTCACTATATCTATTGTACGTACGTATATACTTTATTCACATTTTCAAAAAAAATCGATGATTTTTCGTATGCCGCAGCATTCTACAAACACAATTTATATAATGCCCGGATATTATACTAAGCGATATTTTTAATCTGAAAAAATACATGTTACATGGGTACTGTAGGATAGTTTAGTGTACCATACTCTGGTGTACCATACTCTGGTGTATCATACTCTGGTATATTATACTCCGGAGTAATTTAAAAATCATGCCGGTGCGGTTTATATATTGTACTATTCCAGATTTATTATAAAAAACAAATAAAGTGATTTATACTCCAGAGTTAGGATTAAAGTTTATTATTTATTGTACTCATTCCTTAACTAGGAACATATACTTATATATTTTTGATCACGGCTGAGTCCTGTAAATAATAAATAATATAATAAATAAATATACAACTTGAAGTCCTAAGTCTGGTTTCCATTTGCGTCAAAAAATAAGTTGTATTATAATATAATTATATAGTTTAGTGTATTCTTATGTGGTTATAAAGAGAATATTATGGAGTACTAACTCCGCACCACTTTGGATGATTCTATTAACAGCTCTAGTTTGAATCGGTGGTGTAGGCATAATTACATGAGTACGTACAGTACGTATGTCGCCTGCACCATAGTTTGGACTTTTTTGAACAAAAAAAATTGTTCAAATTTTTATTAAGATAAACTATTTTAATTTTCTAAATGAAACCGTTCGGAACTAAAATAATCGTATTTAGATCATAAGAGTTTGTACATGGTATGTATGTACGTACATACATGCTTGACGTTTGGACAGAACATTGAACAGGCAAGCCAAAAGGAAAATAGTATAAGCTGGGAGTATTTTGTATTATTCGCATGACTTTTAATTCGCATCAACTTAAAATTAATTTGCTTTAGACAATCACCAAAAAAAGTTCCGGACTCAAAAACGTACTACATTGTTTATAAGGATTCAGAAATTTGAATATTAAAAAAAAAAAATTAGCAACTCGAATTCTCCACTAACAATCGCTATAATGAATCACTAAAATCGTTGAACAATGCAAAATTCAGTAACAATTAAAAATCCGATTAGAGCGGACTTTAAAATTCTATCAGCCATAACAAGTGATCTACGTCCGTTTACTCCTTTTTGAAAGTTTTATAATATCGATATACATGACTTTTAACAAACAAGTTGAAGCATTTTGCAAACAAGTAATATAACTACACAGAAAAGTCAATGTTATCATGAATCAATTATGATTTTGGTGGTTATCAAGGTTTAAAGGTTCACTGGTTATACGTAGTGTGAATTTTTTTACTACGTACCACTAGATTTCCTGATTTCTAAAAAGAAATCCCATATCTTCAAGAATAGAGGTTTTATACGTACGTACGTACGTATAAAAATGCAGGCTTTCGTACAACAATAAAAGTCTTACGTACCGACTTATGATTACCAATTTTATACTTAGAGTTTAAATAATAGTTAATCAATCAGATAATTTTTAAATATCATATGATTACTAAACAAATTAATTTAATTGACATAGTACCCTAGTCATATTATCGCTATGTACTCGAGCAGCCGCATTCTGATCGGATGAAATTAATAATTCTAATTTAGATGCAATTGATTTCAAGCTTTGAGAGAAAACAAACTATTTATATCTATATAATTTATTTTAATTATACTATATAAAATAAAATAAAAAAATTGATTCATTTATATAAATGGTTGCCAAGATATTTGTTCAAAGTTTTAAAAAAACTTTACACTGTAAGACCTTTCTAAGTGCACCCTCTCGTGATAAGGATGGTAAATAACCTGTCATTTGATCAAAATTCAAATGATCCTAAGTCATCAAATAATGACCAAGTCATTTGAATCATTAATGTCATTCAGATCATTTGCATTTAGTCGGATTACTCATAAAAATTATCAAACTCAGGAATGGGTCCCATAGCCTAGTGGTCTAGGTGCCCCTCCCTCCACAGACAAGGTTGATGGTTCAATTCCAGCTGGAGGCAACTCTGTAATCTATAGAAGCATATGAAGGTACATGAAGCCCTGTGGCTAAGTCCATGTGATTAGAAGATCGGTATATAAGAAAGTTCCTGAAAAAAAGATTCCTGATATGGAGAGTTGATGCTCAATGCAAGAGAAGTGGTGAACATATCAGAAATGGAGAGAAGGCGCATTAGCGGGTGATATAGTGAACATAAAAAGAAACTATGAAAAAAGAATGGATTTACTGAAATTCAAACACTTCTGGCACCAAATCGGTTCTAGTAGATATGAGATATACTAAAATTGAATAAATCTAAAGGGTAATATTAGTATCATACTTAATAAGTTTGCGTCGAAAATAAATTTGAAAGGATTATGGATACTTAGTAACATCCAATGAAGTGGGACTTAGATATAAATAGTAATTAGATAGCCCTAACCTGTTCTGTCATAAACATGGTAATATACATTGTATATATATGCAGTTAAGTGTTAAAAATCAGAAAGTTTAAATAAAGAACTCACAGGTAGGTCTCAGATATGGCATCTAGTGGGTAACCTATAGGTAGAACTCATAATTAAAGTTATATGTGTGACTAGTTGTATTTTCGTTGATATACTTTGTATATAATATATAATCTTATACTACTACTAATAAAAAGACATACAGGTGAGACTGCTCTTAAAAAAAAATAAAATAAAAATTATCAAATTCTTACGATGATCGTAGATTGTGTTTGGAAATCAATCCTTATTGGTTAAAAGGTAATTAACATATGTTAAATAATTTTCTAAGACATTTAGACTTTATTTGTCATTTGGGTTATTTGAGTTAAAGGTCTGTGAATTGCTTATTTTTGAGGTCCAGTCCGGTTCGCAAAAATTTCATATATAATTTTACAAAATTTTAGACCTGCACTGGCCTGCAATTATAATGTTTTGCAATTTTTTTGGTCCAGCCTGGCCTGCAATTATAAATTTTGCTTCAGGACTGACCTGGCCCACAAAAATTTGCAGGCTGGGCTAGGCCGAGCTGAGCTGCAAGACCCAATGCAGACCTCTAATTTGGGTCATTCAAATTATTTACTATTTCTACTTGGAACCATAATCAAAAAAATAAGTATATTTATAGAAAACATGTTCTTATAAATTGAAATCAAATTAAACTAGTATACATACTTATAGAATATGCACTTAAAAAATCTTACTGTAATAGTTTTTGTTTTAATATTTAATGTTAAAGGTAAGTACTTGTGATTCAGGCTTTTATTAATAATATGTTTTAGTTTATAATTATATTACAACAGTTATAAAAGGTAACTATAAGAAGAGTATACAATTAGCTACATATACAACTTTAATTATTGTCTAATTTAAGTAGTTTATCTAAAGGTTTTACCTAATTTAAGTAGTCTATCTAAAGATTTTACCTAATTTAAGTAGTCTGTTTAAAGGTTTTATACTAGTTGCAATATCTAGAATTTGGTTATAAGTCTTTTATTTAAACATTTTAATTTCTGTATTTATCTATCTACTTATTTTACTAACTACTTTAATTTTTACTATATAATACAAATATATTATAATTACTAGGTTTTTAAAGCAGTTTACTTATATAAAAAACCTTTGACCTTATACTAAACTTATTAAAACCTTTTATTACTTCATTTTCAGCTAATCTAATATGATTATAACTAAAATCAATATTTGTAATTAAAGTAACTTTTAAATTACTATTCTTTTATAAAGTTTATACAATTCTAATATTTTTCTTTATTGTAACAATACTATAATTTCTCTGTAATTTTTCTAAATCTTTTCTTAATAATATGTTAATTACTATAATTTTTTTTTATTATTATTAATATAATGTTCAAGTAAAAACTTTTTATATATAGAATTATAAGTTCTAAAATTAAAATTTTCTAAACTACATTTGTGTTATATATAAATTAGTACTCAATATAACATTACATCCTCTATTTCCTATGAGTGCTATAATTAATTATTTCAAATTAGATTCTAGCTAGGATAGGTTAGAGAAGACCTTCACTAATTAGTATAATTAAATTAGTTATATTTAGTTTATTAGTTTATTAAATATAATCAGAATTAATTTAACAAATATAACATAAATAAATAAGCATTATTATAGCTTATTTACTTTACTCTATAGTGTAATTTTGTACCAGAAACAGAGTTTGTATAATATACAATATAGTGTATGCTTTACAAGCAAATTAATATACATGTGTATAATTCTCAGCACTTGATTGGTCTACATGACTCTATTCATCATATATTGTTATGTGTTACTTATTTTCAGATGTTATTTTACACCTTATACCAGTAGCTTGACTATTGCATCTGTAAACCTATATTATGTCTACTATATGTATATAAGATAAATAAAAATAAATACTGAAACACTATTAAATTAGAGATGTTATAATAAATTGTTAATTTTTTAATATAAATACTAATGACCTAATATAAATTATTATATATATTTATTATATTTTAAGGATTTTTGATTTTTTTTTTATAGTATTTTTTTATTAAGTTGATGAAATAATAATCATTATTACAGTTAAGGGCTGCCAGATTTGAACTGGCACTTGTTAA